TCCGGGTGCTATCTAGCCTGGACTAACTTTGTTATGAGAGACACGGTTTTTATTAACAGCCCATGTCGAAAAACCAAATCATTACTCTTGAAGTTTTCCCAAGAACATTTGTTATCCAATGCACCATAATCATGACACAAGCAACAACAATGAATGCCTTATCTCGTTTTGTTTTTTATAACACAAGGTGTATAAACTTATTGACTTGATTAATTATCTATCATAGATGCACACAAAACGCTCCACCTACGTGCATCGCTACCTATTCTATTCCTGCCAATTTTTTGTTAAAAAATGAACGTGTCTGATCTCTATGTAGGCCTCAAAACGTTATGCAAACTTGTTCTTTTCAGAAAGATGAATCACTCATCCTTGCGGTGCTCAAGTAGTAGCTAGCTAGCTAGCTAGGTTGGCATATAATCTGAGGCATTTTCCATGGTTTCGGCATCCACAGTCTTAAGCATGTGTCCATGGATCATTGGCAAGAGAGCGAGCTAGTCGGGGTGTGCAACCGGACCGGGTTTACCCGGAAACCGGACTGGCCCACCCGAAAAACAGGTCCGGGAACCGGTTCCAATTTGAACCGGTTTCATTTTTTGGGAATCGGTTAGAACCGGTCCGGTTTCCGGTTCCAAGTGAAAACCCACCCAGACCGGCTTTAGAACCGGTATTTTATGGTGGTCCACTTGCAATTTTATATGACCAGAATTTAAAGCATTCTATTATAAAGGATGAGGGAGATGATCATTATTTGTGGATGGTCTAACTCAAGGGCTTGTAAGCATTATAGGGAGCAATTTCCTTTTTCTTAAAATTTTTGTTTTGTAACGAAGAAACTTCATATCCAACTGGAACCTATGCTGTTTTATCACGTCCATTAAATTATTGGGACTAAGATAATATGCTTTTGTATGAATACTTAAGATTGTTTGCATAGTCAAACTTATAACCTTTGATTTGAGTTATAAGTTTTCCTATTTGCTACCCGGAAAAAATGAAACCAAAAAAAGGAACATAAAAAAAAGGGGTTCTTGGGTAGACCTTGTAACCGGACCGAAAAAACAGGGTAGGTTCCAAAACAGGGTTCAAGATAAACAGGATAGGTTTCAAGTTCCAAAAACTGGGAATCGGTTATAACATGGTCGGTTTTAGGTTTCAAGTCTGGAACTGACCTATCCTGGAATTGATCACCCCCTACGAGCTAGTGTTTGCATTCGTTGTCCATATATCTTTTTTGCTTGATCAGGCCAGCTGTTTCTTCCAACTAATAGAAGGTGTTTCACAGTACTCAAGTGACTTGTAGTTGGTCAATGCTTTTCTGGGATTCCACCTTTTGTCCCCCACTTTCTTCTTCAACACATTAAACAGTTTCTTGATGCATCTTCCCATGTGCAGCAAGCAGATCAATGCCTAGTGTCACTAAAAAACGAAACCCTAACGAGCGCGGATGATACTAAGAAGTGTGATATACCGTGCTTTTTTGAGGAAACCCTAACCCTAACCCTAATTCTCTGCAGTTGGGCTTTCTCTCACCGCACCAAGAAGCTTGTCTTAGTTTGTTAGGACAAGGATTTCCTCTTTTTTATAATGCCAATCAGTGTATAGTGACTGATTACTTCAAAATTGTTGGTTTAAAAACCCAACTCAAACAGATTTAGTTGACAGTCTCTCTCTAGTCTGTGCCTACTAATTAAAACAAATAAATAGTATGTTGATAAATCCAACATAATTCCATCTATATGTACTGAGTATACTCAAATTTAACATTCATGACCCAAGTTTCAGAACAAGTCTGATCTGAAGGAGAATTGATAAGATAAAAGCCCCATTCCACAATTGATATCTACATTACCGAAGTTGCAGGACTTGATAAGTTGCTGAACTAGAGTGCCATTTATTGGTAGTTCACTTGAGATACCTAAATAGGGAATTAGTTCTTTTGTTTGTTATTGAATCGATTATAGTGGAATGATACATCTATTTCTTAGCCTTGTAAGATATTTAAGATTTTAATCAACAGTACATACGATCTGAAAAAGTTTTGAATAATTAGGAATTCTATCTTCTTTTATTTTACCAAAAAAGTCGGAGGTACATAATTCGTATCTCACTTTATCATTATTCACTGAAAGACTCGAAATATACATCTCTTTGTATAAAGAAAATATTATAGGTTAGGATTATGCAGAATGCAAGCAATTATTAGGCAAATGATCACTTTTTGTAGTGCTTCTTTTTTCACCTTAAAGTAGAGAGAGAGAGAGAGAGAGAGAGAGAGAGAGAGAGAGAGAGAGAGAGAGAGAGAGAGAGAGATTGATTGGGGAGAAAGTAATTGAGCTTATAAGCTGAGCACTATGATTTGTAAGGATATCCAACGAATGAAACATACAGATTTCTCTCTCGACTTTCTATCTCTTCTCTCTTCAATTCCCTTCTCTTCTCACCTTATTCTGATTGTCATCTCGATTCTCATTGATAATCAATAGGGATCAATACAAAATACCAGGTGGAAAATAAGGAAATGGGAATTTAACAGTAATTTAAATCACTTGATTACAGAAAACCTAGAATAATATCTCTATCAAGGACAAACTTTCCAACTTTCTATGATACTTTTATACGTTTATCAGATCAAAGTGAAACATGAAAGCTGAACCAGTAAATCCTCTCATCTCCCTGTGCTTTCAGACCTCAAACTCTGGGATTCGTGACTTGATTTCGAAATATGCCGGTGAATTAGGTGAACACCACTCCAATTAACTCTTGGCTGAAGGCTATGCAGATAAATCTGGAAAAACCAAAACTACACTGAAGCGTCTGAAAGTAAAAGCCCAGATATGCAAAATTACCTCCATGAGTGTCATCATGATTAAAGCTAGAAACTATATATATCGCTTGTCCTAATACCTTCCCTCTTATCCTCAAAACAGCTTTTGAGATTGATCTATATCACTCCTTTCATCGATTTGAAAGTTTGTTGAGGTGGAGGTTGAAGCCTGATTGTTCCCTATTGGTAAGTCATTCTCTAAGATAAAGATTGCTCAACACCTTTTGATACGCTACTATTGTTCATCGCCTTGTCTTGATTAGCTTTATCCCCTTCAAAGTCCCTATATCTATGCAAATACCTTCTTAATGGACCGGCATAATTGTCGAAACCCAGAGCCTCCATAGCCCAGCACATATCATCGCCGTTCACAGTCTTCCTTCTCTCCTTCCGGCACTTCTCGGAGGCTTCACTGGTCACGAAGCCAATGAACTCTGAGACACATTCTTGCATCATTTCTTTCGCTTCCTTTGAGACTTTTGCATTGGGAGGGAGGATTTGCTTCATGATCCGCCCCACGTTGGCTATTGGGAGCAACCTGTCTTGCTCCTTGATGCTTCCATCATCAGCACCGATGTTATCTTCCATTTCTGGAGGCTCACTCACAAAAGTGCAAGATCCCCGTTGAATTTAGACTCTGTCTTCCAATGTCAAAGGGCTTCCGTCTATGGTATGCAAATGCACGAAGTTAGCCGTCCGACTTAATATATGCATTTAACTTATGATTTTATGTCTTGTCCATTTTGGCATGTGATGACAACATACCGGCTCCACACAAATGGCGGGTCTTCTGGCACAAGCTCAATCTACTGGCCAGATGATCATGGCTAGAAACCATGGGGTCGAAAATTCTAATTATATGGTTGACTGTGATTCCACGGCATATTGATTGGCTTTGCCCTATAAATCATAGCGAAGGAAAAAAGAAAGCAATGTACTTTCTTTGATGTATTTTACACCTCATATTCCTCGAATTTTAAGTGGAGGATAAGACAGAATGTGGAGTCAATTTCTTAAATCTTTAGGCTTCAAATATGCTTGTCGATTTGGTGAGTTTTAAGGTAGACAAGTAGCCCCAGCTTTCCTCCTCTTTAGTCCACCATTGAGTTTACAACGAGTAAGTTATTTGATTAGCGAGTAAAGCTTAAGTTGGTGATTAATTGTCATCCACCCAAGTTTTAGCGTGGATTCAACCACCACTACTCTACTATAGAATCTGATTAACCAATAAGTTATCAACTGCGTGGCATCTACTCTTGCTTGTGTCATTGAAAACGACATCAAAAGCATAAGAATACTTTAAATAGCATGAAATTTGGAGGGTTTTGGTGTTTGAATCCTTGGGATGGCGTATTTAATGTCAATTACCTCAGCATCAAGTGCAACTCAAGCATCTCTTTTGTATTGAGAAGATTTGGCAAGTCAGAGGTTGTCCTCGGTTTCATATATTCTTCACTTGGCAAGTACGTTTATCAAGTTAATTAAATCAGCATTTCTAATTAATGTGAAAAAAGAAGCAAAAATGAGATTAGCTGCTAGCCGGCTTGTTACTCATATTGATCCAGTATTTCACATTTTTATTTTGTGATAATGTATATGCTTGTTCCAAGGTTCGCTAGTTAGGTAACCATTTAATTGGGTGACTGCTTAATAGTTTGTGTTTTCTGAGACGAAACCGTGTGATTCTTTTTTGAAAAAAACTATGGTGTAAAATCGAAGGTCACAAGAATATTTGCTGTTGCTGTCTCTCACTATCAGTTACTTCTTGGTTCTCCTGATTCAGGATGCTCTGATACTTCTTTATCTGTTCTAAATAATACTTTACAGTAACATTGCCTTCTCATTTACAGCCAAGCCTTATTGCTCCTATTACGTATGAGGAGATTAAGGAGGTTTTGATATGTATCTGTGCGGAAGATGATCATGCTACGAAGATCTTTGAGTTACAATTGCTGACCTCGACCCCCAATCGAACACGTGATTGGTAATCTCAGTATGAACGCGACTCGTTGATTTGCAGAACTGTGTCAACCAATCCACGCTATAACGCCACGAACAAGAGAATTCGCGATCTTGCTCGATAAGTTGAATTCATCGCCACAAGGGAGCCTTGATAAGATCTAGTCCTCAAGAGAACTCAAGAAGAAAACTTCTTTATATAAAATTCTGTCTCCGCCTCCTAGAAATCTATAAGCAACCTTATATAGGGTGCTAACCCTAATCCTAATCCTACTAGGATTAAAATTACAAAAATAACCTTAATTGCTAAAATTCGTCCAAAAATGGAAAAAGGCCTAAAAGTTCATCTAAACAACTCCAAATCGCTAAAAACATCATCAATCACTACTAAAGTAGTTTGTATTATCCGTTTCAATGTTAATTTTAAGTTTTTGGTCCATGAATGGGGACAAAACGCTAGGATCAGATGCCTTCTCTATCTCATTTCATACTTTTGCATGAACTGTTATTAGCAAAGATTTCTGTGATGCAATCTCTGATATTTTTTCCTCTTCGAAGTTATTGAAGAAAATATATGGAACAGCTATTTCTGTAGTTCCTAAATAGCAACTGCTTTGACAATTGCTGATTTTAGGCCTATATCTTTCTGCGATGTTATTTATAAATGGAGTACTAAGATCCTAGGTTGCAGATTGAATAAGTTTTACCTCATTTCATTAGGATATATCAATCGGCATTTGTTAAAGGAAGGAGTATTGGGGATAACATCTTGTTGGCCCATGAACTTGTCAAGAATTATCATAGGGCTGGTACATCCTGAAGGTGCTTGATTAGGGCTAATTTGAGAAAAGCTTGACTTATTAAACTGGGATTTTCTCCTAAAGATTCTGTAGGCAATTGGTGTGCTTGTTTCTTTCCTGACTTGGATTAAGCTGCATTACTTCTCCCTCTTTCTCCACATTGTCAATGGTCCCCTAGAAGGTTTTTTTGTTGTAAAAGGTGCTTGCTATGGAGGTTCTTTCAAGAATGCTCAAAGCAGCTGCTAGCAGGGGCACAATTAAGTTCCACCCATCCTGTTCTAAATCTCAGCTTAATCACCGTTTTATTGCTGATGATTTGATGATTTTCTTTTCAAAGGTGATGCTGCATCTTTAAGGGAGATTCTTTCTAAATTGCAAGGCTTCAGGAATATGTCTGGCCTCCAATTAGCCCCTCCAAAGCTAAAGTTTTTACTCCCGCATATTCTGATGAACAGGTGAAATATTTGCTTTGAATTTGTTTTAGCAGAGGGCATCTTGTAGTTAGACACCATGCAGTACCACTCGTATCCGAGAGGCTTGCATATAAAGATTCTAAGCCTTCGGTAATAAAACTACAGCTAGATTCACATGTTGGACAGTGAAAAAGTTGACATATGCTGGCAGGCTTCAACTCATCAAAGCTGTTGTCTGTATAGTCTTGTCAACTTCTTGGTCCCGGATTTTTCTTCTTCCAAAGAAGGTCATTGAAGCAGTTGATCAGAAATGTATGTCTTTTCTTTGGAAAGTGCAACTGGGTGGTGCTAAAGGCTTCGGAGTGAAATGGGAGCAAGTTTGTCATCCTAAACATGGAGAAGGAATTTTGTCTGAGTTTCGTTGCTCAATCTCCTGCTTTGACTGAGGAGCGGTTGCCTAGATATTGTGGCTTGTAGTGGTATTTGGTCAACCCACTTTCTTGCTGATGAGATACAGCTTTAAATTGCCCATAAAAATACTATGGTTTAGTTCAAAGATTGCCAATAGATCGAAAAGCATATTTGCACTGCAGTTATTGTCGTTTCATGTAGGCATTTGACTGGCAAAACTCGGAGGAATACAACATGACCAAAGATTCCTTTGTTCCTAGCATCGAGAATAAATCCTTGCATTTATTTAATTCTTGTCCGAGGAAGTCAGTGCTTCTATTGGCCTCTCATTCTTGGTAGAGAGTAAAAACATAGAATATATTCACTACTGCCAAGAAAACTACTGTGTAATAGTTACCTCGTAATTCGATTTAAGTAAGTCCTTAAACTGCTTCGTCTAACTCTGGGACGTTAAATTTGGGGGCATTCTCGGGGGAAAGAAAAGAAAAAATTTCTCTCCAATTGGGGGTTAGGCGTGTAGGTACCGACACGTTAAATAGGGAACGCAGACTTGTTAGTCCACCTGGGTATACACCTAGACAGGCGGGGCGGCCCCGGTCGAAAACTTAGGCTTCCCCTGCTTTTGTGAGGTATCTTCGGTAACCACCTCCAAGGATCCAAGGCAAGCCTCCGATTCTTTTTTTTGTTCCTAGCATCGAGAATAAACCCTTTGCAATTTTTTTTTTCGTGTCCGAGGAAGTTAGTGCTTCTATTGGCCTCTCATTCTTAGCACAAAGTAAAAACATAGAATATAATCACTACTACCAAGAAAACTTCTATATAATAGCTACCTTGTAATTGGACCAAAGTAAGTCCTTAAGCTGCTTTGTCTGACCCTGGGATGTTGAATTCGAGGGTATCCCTAGGGGAGAGAGAAGAAAAATTTTCTCTCCAGTTGGGGGGCTCAACGTCTGGGCACTGGTATGTTAAACAATAAACACAGACCTGTCAGTCCACTAGCTATACACACCTAGACAGGCAGAACGCCCCTAGTCGGAAGCTTAGACTTTCCCTGCTTTGGTGAGGTACCCTCGATAACTACCACCAAAGATTCAAGGCAAGCCCTCGATTATTTTTTTGTTCCTAGCATTGAGAATAAACCCTTGTTTATTTTTTTAATTCTTGTCCAAGGAAGTTAGTGCTTCTATTGGCCTCTCACTCTTGGTACAGAGTATAAAGCATAGAATATAATCACTGCTGCCAAGAAAACTTCTGTATAATAGCTACCTCGTAATTGGACTTAAGAAAGTCCTTAAACTGCTTCGTCAGACTTTGGGATGTTAAAATCGGGGTTATTCTCAGGGGAGAGGGAAGAAAAACTTTCTCTTCAATTGAGGGGCTAGGCGTGCGGACACCAACACGTTAAACAGGGAACGGAGAGTTGTCAGCCTACCAGGTGTATACACCTAGACCAGGCGGGGCGGCCTCGGTCGAAAGCTTAAGCTTCCCCTACTTTGGTGAGGTACCCTCGATAACTACCACAAAGAATCCAAGGCAGGCCCACGATTATTTTTTTGTTCCTAGCATCGAGAATAAACCCTTGCATTTATTTAATTCATGTTCGAGGAAGTTAGTGCTTCTATTGGCCTCTCATTCATGTTCAAGGAAGTTAATACTACCAAGAAAACTTCTGTGTAATAGCTACATCATAATTGGACCTAAGTAAGTCCTTAAACTGCTTCATTTGACCCTGGGACGTTGAATTCAAGGGAGAGGAAAGAAAAATTTTCTCTCCAATTGGAGGGCTCGGCGTGTGAACATTGGCATGTTAAACAAGAAATGCAGACCTGTTAGTCTGCTAGGTGTACACACCTGGACAGGCAGGGTGGCCCCTGTTGGAAGCTTAGGCTTCCCCTACTTTAGTGAGGTATCCTCGCTAACCACCACCAAGGATCCAAGGCAAGCTCTCGATTATTTTTTTGTTCCAAGCATTGAGAATAAACCCTCGTATTTTTTTTAATTCTTGTCCAAGGAAGTTAGTGCTTCTATTGGCCTCATTCTTGGTACAGAGTAAAAAACAAAGAATATAATCACTCCTGCCAAGAAAACTTCTGTATAATATAGCTACCTCGTAAAATATGTGCCAAAACAACCTTTGTATTAAGCATGATGTTACGTGAGATATTTTTGTTTATCCATTTTTTAAAATTTATTTATCTGTATTACTTCACTAGGAAAGAAGGTTCGTTGTATGTAACCAGAATTTATTTCTATAATTGAAAGTTTCCTCAAGATTTCAAGAAAACATTTTTTATTTAATTTTTTTGGTCAGGTACATTTTTTTATTTGATAGATTGACATGAGATGGAGCGTCTTTTTATATAGTGGTGACAAGGCCCCCATCGAGTCTCCATCTTTATACATTAATTTTCAGATAAAAAATATTTCACTCTTTTTTACTTTATGAGTTTAACTTAGAAACATGATTGGTTACATCAATGACCATTACAACACGTATTTATTCCAAATTTGTCACATAATAAAGGAGTTTACTCATAATAATAGGACGTACATAATGATATAATAATTATGACCATAATATGTAATAATAATTATGACCATAAATTGACAATTTAGTAATATGACAATTAATCATTTAAATAATCATGATTAAATATTATACGTAAAAAATACCTAGATATCTATAAATAGTTAGTTATTGTAATTTCATTTGGTGAAATTATATGCTATATATTAGTTTTAGCATAGTTCATAATATAATAATTTAGCATAGTTATTAAGACTCGTTTGCAGGATTCCAAGTGATACTATACATAACAAGTTATGCACAATAATTTAATAAATGACATAATTATCGGTTAGTCAATTCTATATTACATATACTTGTATATACTTTAATAAATTTACACACACACACACACACACACACATATATATATACACTTTAGTAATTTCACGTATAATAGGGAAACTATATTATAACATAGCAAAATAATTGTATTGTCTTAATAAAAATAATACATATCAACTATATTATCCAATGATCAATTACATATATATATATATTAAGTAACATAATTATTAAGTGGTTAATCCAGTAGAGAGTAAAGTATTTTTGACATTTTCTATCACTTTCTCATACACACAACGCCGGTACATTTTGCTAGTAAAAAATAATAACGATGGTGTCTAGAACGGACTAGAGGTGTTAGATAGATGAGGTTGGGGTTGTTTCACAGCTCAAAGTCGAGAGCAAATTTATAATGTTCGAGATCGCTGTCACCAACATACTTACTAATCAAATAAATTGCGGGCTAACTCTAAAATAGCGAAAGTTGGGTACCATGCACATGGTTTAGGCAAACAAGTCATCAACTTAAGTTGATCCTTATATAGTGATTGCTTTTAATTTGACTCAACTTATCACATCATGATGGATTTAATGATGTAATGTAACTGGTGTTCTTTGCCAAATGGATGATATGCTCAGGCCATGAAAGGTAAATTTGTTGTAAGAATCATAATGACCACTGCCGTTGCCTTACTCTTGGTCAATATTACGTCCGAGAAATTCATGATTGCCAACGTATATGAGAGAGAAGCATTATGTTTAATTGCTTTTGAAGACATCATCAATTCCGCATCATATGATGGAACAGGGCCCCACCCTACTAGGTAGCCTCACGGGGCAACTAGAAATTGAAATTTAGTGTTTTTCATTAACGGCCAAGTTCATGGTATCACTGTTAAAATGGTATAATTTTCTAAAAAAAATTACCTGATCAGTCATAAACTTATTATACAGATATCAATTCAATCATAAACTTTTCGATTTTGTCAATTCAGTTATAAACTTTTGTGTGAAATTCCAATTTAATCTTTCTGGTTAATTTTCGTTAGGAATCGTTGATGTGGCAATGTGCCACATAGGATGGCTAGCAATGTCCGCACCGCCACGTCAACAATTTTCAACGAAAATTGATCGAAAGGACTGCATTGAATTTCTTGCAAAATTTTAGGACTAGATTGGCAAAATTAAAAAAGTTTATGACTGAATTGTTATCCGTATAATATGTTAAGGACTAATTGGACAATTTTCCCTATAATTTTCAAGTTGCTTTTCCAAGGGAATCAGTTTATGGATTGCACTGGATCCTCTTGATTGTTTTTGATAAGTAGAAGGAGATTAATGGATGACTAGCATTGACAACCCCCTAAGCTTTACTATAGGGGTTTCATACCACCGAAAGAGAATCCAATTTGAATCATAATTACTGCTTATTTTAAGCAAACTCGTCAACTCTACCACACCATTGTTATAGTGTAGCAAAGCAAGGATTATCCTATGCCATGACATAATCGAACCTACACTGCAGATGAACCAAGGTTTCCTAATGCCGAGGAGTGACTAGGGAATTTGGAACATGTGATCGGAGGGCCCCAAACTACTTGCGAGTATGCCTTACGCTACTAGGTCAACTACCAGGGCGGTCAGGATTATTTTAATTCGGAGAAAAAACAAAGAAGACAAATTATCAATCCTTAATAGATTGACGGCTTGACGCCTCCGGCACCTTGCAATTTTAAATTATTTCGCTTTCAATCCTTTATTTTCTTTTCTTTTAACATAAGGAAAAAAGACCATAACATAGCTTCTTTTTTTGGTCGAAACCATAACATAGCTTGATAGGGTGAAAACGATATACGCGAATACCGCAATTTCAAAACACACAAGTAATGCACGAGCGATACACGAGGACTACAATCAAGAGAAGCTCTCAATCTTCTATCTCAAATTCAAAAAGATGAATTGCCTTTTCAGGAAATGAATAACAAGAATACAGTAGGAAATTGTTAAATCCAAATCTTAATCTATTCAGACGAATGAATATAAAATAACTCTTAAAACTATATAAACGACAAGTAAATCATAAATCTGAACTAGGAATTTAGTGGGTGATGATGGGTCATCTATTGATGAGGTTAGATTGAACAATTTAGTTTGAAAAATATATCTAATAAATATGCTTTCATGGCCCACGTCTGTTGAGCACAATGATTCTTCTCTTTTTTAAGTATGTTGCATCGAATTAGAGTTTTCCCAAACGGGTTGGTGGCAACTGACACAGCGAACGACGGAAAAGATTAGGTGCAACGCTTAGTTCCACAACCTTGCCAAGTCAAGGCAAAAAGACAATGGATAAATTAAGAGAGACTTTTTACGAAATTTTACTGAAATATGACTGAAAATGGACCGACCACTAGCCTACACCACCTATTAATAGACATGAGACTTCTTGCTAAACAAATTAACGAGAGATAAAAATATTAACAGTGAAATAAAAGGAAAGTGAATATCCTTAGTTAAATTTGTTATTTGATATACCCTCCCAAGAAAGAAATTAGATTCCTTAAGGAAGTTAAGTGGTCTTACAAGGCGGCACCTCTGCCTAGCACAGGCCCTCTCAAGCTCTACCAATTGCAACTTTATTTTCTCAATCAATTATTTATGAAGAATTAGACTAAGGAATTGCCACTAACTTATTTTGGGCCGGTTAGAAACCTGAGTAGGATGCGGGAGTACATCTTACTCCTACGAACTAGAGATTCACGAATCCGGGGACTTGATTACGTTAGATAAATTTAACACCCTTCCAATACATTTTCTCTCTTATGTGAAAACGTGTGCTTGCAATCTTTTTCGATTTTATTGTCATAAATCATCTAACATGTAAAAGGGTAATCATGTATGGTGCGCAAACAATTAATGTAAACGACCAAGCTATAATAAAGACGAAGTATTTATCACAGCCAAAGATATAAAATACGAGGGAATTTAAAGATTCCGAGCCGCATTGGGCAACATTAAGCATGACTTTGTTATTTAGCTTCGGAACATGGACCCGTGAGCTAAAAGTCAAAATGGTGAAGATGCTATACTATAATCTATGCATGCATTAGCGCCTACCCCTACTATGATGAAGCGTGGACTATCTAATTATGATTCATTTATCGCTCTAATGCGAAACTAATGTAGATGCAACTTAGTCTGAACTTTTTTTCTTGATTTAATCAGCATAATAAATATGAAAGTGAACCCTAGAACGCTACATGGCCGTGAATATGCATTGTGATGTAACATGTATGAAGACCACATTATGAGACCATGATATGCATGAGACTAAGCTAAGGTAAATAATTCAATTGAAACATTCATAATTGCCCTATTATAAACTCCTAGATGTTGAATGATATGGATATCAAATGATATGAATTAGATTAACATGAGTTAACCCGACAACGCAACCTAAATGCCATTTTTCAAAACGGTCAATTTGAGAAAAAAAATGATAATTTTGCTACATCTACATCATTATTCAACCTACATATATTGAGGGATGTTGGGACAAGCACAATATAGACTACTTTGGGGAAAATTACCAAAAAAGTCCTAAACCTTTTGCAATTGTGCCAATTCAGTCATAAACCTTTTTTTTTGGCCAATTCAGTCCTAAACCTTTTGCAATTATGCCAATTCAGTCCATCCGGCCACTTTGGGCCGGCCGGCGCTGACGTGGACGCCGGGCGGCTGATGTGGCAATTTTTAATAATTTTTTTTCTCTTTCTTTTTTTTTTCTGGCCTATCTTCTTCCCCGGTCGCCGGTCCGGCGACTCGGCGCGAGGCGAGGCCGGCGAGGTCCACCTCGCCGGCCATGGCGAGGCTGGCCCTCGCCGACGGGAGAACCCGACCTCGCCATGATCGGGTGAGGCCTCGCCGTCGCCGGGCGAGGTCGAGCCTCGCCATGGCCGGGCGAGGTCGAGCTCGCCGACGGCGAGGCCTCGCCCAGATCGGCGAGGCCTCGCCGTCGCCGGCGAGGTCGACCTCGCCCGGCCATGGCGAGGTCGACCTCGCCGGCGATAGCGAGGCGGCCCTCTGCCGGCGAGGGCCAGCCTCGCCCATGGCCGGAGAGGTGGACCTCGCCGGCCTCAGCCTCTCGCCGGTCGCCGGACCGGCGACCGGGGAAGAAGATAGGCCAGAAAAAAAAAGAAAGAGAAAAAAATAATAAAAAAATCGAAAAATAATAAAAAAAAATTGCCACGTCAGCCTGCCAGCGCCGCCCTGCGTCTACGTCAGCGCCGGCCGGCCAAAAGTGGCCGGATGGATTGAATTGGCACAATTGCAAAAGGTTTAGGACTGAATTAACACAATTGCAAAAGATTTAGGACTTTTTATGACTTTTTTGGTAATTTTCCCGACTACTTTGGTTGTGGCTCATTCTTACATGCGCGACTATAAAAGGTAGTATGCTAGTTTAAGGTTGTGTACGATTTATCTGTTGGCATAATGATTGAAACACAAGTAACAGGGATTCAAAGACACATCTAACGGCAGGAGGGGAGGGGGGGCACTTCTTTTTTTATCATAGGGAGGGGCGCTTCACCCGCCTAAAGCTCAATGCGGTCATATGAGGTCAGCAATAAAATTATTACGTATATTATTTTATTGATAGCCCACAACTCCAGATGCTATCCAGCCAGGACCAACTTGATGAGAGAAACGATATTTTAACTGAAAATTTATCATCCAATGCACCATAACCATGACACGAGCGATAGTAATGCATGCCTTACCTTGTTTTTCATAACATAGGGTGTCTAAACTTGCCAACTTGATTTATTATATATCACAGATGCATCGCTATACCCATTCCATTCCTTTCAATTTTTTGTCTTAAAATGAACATGTCTTATCCCTATGTAGACCTTAAAACATTATGCAAACTTGTTCTTTTTCACAATGATGAATCACTCATACATGCGGTGCTCTGGTAGTGGCTAGCCAGGTTGGCATGTAATTTGAGACATGTTCCACGGTTTTGGCATCCTAGTTAGGTAGCTAGTTGGCATGTCCCATGCATCATTGGGAAGAGAGCTAGCTAGTGTTTGTATTGGTTCTCCATACACCTTTTTTGCTTGATCAAGACTATAGTTTCTGTCAACTAATAGAAAGAGTTTCACGGTACTCAAGTGACTTGTGGTTGGTCAATGCTTTTCTTATATTCCATCTTTTGTCCCCCACTCTCTTCTTCAACACAATAAACAGTTTCTTGATGCATCTCGCCATGTGCAGGAAGCAGATCAATGCCTAGTGTCTCTAAAACCAGAAACCTTAAGCAGTGCACAAGATACTAAGAAGTGTGATATACCATGCTTTTTTTAGGAAACCCTAAACCTAATTCTCTGCAGTTTGGCTTTCTCTCACCACCCCAAAAAACATGTCTTGGTTTTCTCAGATTTTCCTCAGTTTTATAATGGCAATCGGTGAAATAACCACGCAGTCAGTGTAGGGTGAGTCCAAAATTGTTGGTTGAAAACCCTTACTCAAACAAATTTAGTTAACAGCCTCTCTCTGGTCAATACGTACTAATTAAAATAAAGAAATGGAATGTTGATAAGTCCACAATAACCCCATGTAGATGTACTGAGTATGCTCAAATTGAAATATGACATGACCCAAGTTTCAGCACAAGTCTGGCCAGAAGGAGAATAGAGAAACTTGATAAAGCCCCATTCCACAATTGAGATATATATTACCGGAGTAGCAAAACTCGATAAGTCGCTGAACTAGAATGCCATTGTAGTCCAATCGAGATGAGAAATCTATGAATAAGGAATTTTATCTTATTTTATTTTAAGAAAAAATAAGAACTACATAATTCGTATTCCATTTTATCAGTGTTCACTGAGAGACTCGATATATACATCTTTATGCATAACAAAAATGTTATTAGTTAAAATGCAGGCAAAGGCACATGATCATTCTTTGTGCTATTTCTATTTTCATGTTAAACTCAAGTGAGAGAAATTGGGAAGGAAATGAGTGAGCTTATAAGCTGAGAATTATCACTTGCTATCCAAAAAATGAAATACGCGAATTTCTCTCTCAAATTTATATCTCTCTGCTCCTCTCTTCCCTTCTCTTCTCACCTTATTGTGACAATGATGGGGATTCTCATCTGATTATCAAGTGGGATCATTGCAAAATAACAGGTGGGAAAAGAGAAAGGAGGAACTTAAGTAACAGTAATTTAATATAACTCATTACAGAAAACCTAGAATACGAACTCTATTAATGCCTCTATTAAGGACAAACTTTTACACATTTCTATTATACTTTTATAGGTGTATCAGATCAAAGTGAAACATGAAATCTGATTTGCTAACCTTGTCTTTCCTCTTCCGGTGAACTGTTCTCTGAACCAGTAAATCCTCTAATCTCCATCTGCTTTCCTCATATTGAAAGTAGCAAATCAAGGGTTCCATTTTAAATTCTGATTTCAGACTGCGAGTGCCAAGATTCGCGACTTCATTATGAAATAATACCAGTGAATTAGGTGAACACCACCTTAATTAACTCTTGGCTGAAGGCTATGCAGGAAAATCTGGAAAACAAAGTCTAAACTAAAGCATCTAAAAGGAAAAGCCCAGATACACAAATTATTTCCATGAGTTTCATCATGATTGAAGCTAGAAACTTGATATATATCTGTTGCCCTAATACCTTCCCTTGTATCCTAAAAATGGCCTTGAGATTGATCTATCACTCCTTTCATCGATTCAAAAGTTTGCCGAGGTGGAGGTCAAACCCTGATCGTTCTTATATTGTTGAGTGTTTCTATATGACCAAGATTGCTCAACACTATTTGATTCGCTACTGTTGTTCATTGCCTTTTGTTGATTAGGTTTATCTCCTTCTAAGTCCCTATATCTATGCAAATACCTTCTTAGCGGATCAGCATAATCGTCGAAACCCAGCGTCTCCATAGCGCAGCAAATATCATCGCCGTTCACTGTCTTCCTCCTCTCCTTCCGGCACTTCTCAGATGCTTCGCCAGTCACGAAGCCGATGAACTCTGAGACACATTCTTGCATCGTTTCTTTCGCTTCCTTTGAGACTTTTGCGTTGGGAGGGAGGATTTGCTTCATGATCCGCCCCACGTTGGCTATTGGGAGTAACCTGTCTTGCTCTTTGATGCATCCATCGTCGGCACCGATGTTATCTACCATTTCTAGAGGCCAAAAGTACAAGAACCCCGTTGAATCTAGACTCTGTGTTCCAATGTCAAAGGGTTTCCTTATGTTGTATACAAAAACAACGAAGTTACTTGTCCGACTTAATATATATGTTAAATATGTGATTTTATGTCTTGTCCGTTTTGGCATGTGATGACGACGGACCGGCTCCACACAAATGGTGGGTCTTCTGGCACAAGCTCGATCTACTGGCCAGATGAACATGGCTAGACACCATGGGGTCGAATAGTCCAATTATATAGTTGATTTTCATCCCACGCCATATTATTTGGCTTTTCCCTATAAATCATAGTGAAAAAAAGCAATGTACTTTCTTCAATGTATTTTACACCTCATAGTCCTCAAATTTAAATGGAGGATAAGACAAAATGTGGAATCAATTTCTTAAGTCTTTAGGTTTCAAATATGCTTGTCGATTTGGTGTGTTTTAAGGTAGACAAGCATCCTCACCTTTCTTCCTTTTCGTCTACCAATAAGCTTACACCGAGTAAGTAATTTGATTAGTCATTAAAGCTCAAGTTGGTGATTATTTGTAATCCACCCAAGTTTTAGCGTGGATTCTGTAAGTTTTGGGCTTTAACAGAAGAATAAGAAAACAATAAGCCCAAGTCCAAGTCACTTAAGCCCATTCTAAGTGTTTTCTTGTGCTTCAGCTTGCTTGCAAGTAAATAAACGAGCAGAGAAAGTAATAAGAAGAAAGGAAGATAATGAAAGGTGTCGTTCAATAAGAAAAGAAAAGAACAAGAAAAATGAAGAAGTGGTTACATGCACGCTCAAGACGTCTCGGCGAGTCAAAATAACAACCGTTTCGCTTCGCCCAGTAAATAATCAAACTCTTTGTTCATCTAATCAACGTAATTTCGAAGTTAAATAATAAATTCGAAGATATGTGCATTTTGAATTGCGAGATTCAATCGAAGAGTTGTTAAGCTATGGAATTATATGAAAAATGATAATTTAGGGCTTTGTGGAGCCGTAGAGTTTGACGAAAATTTATTCTTAATTATGGTTTGTTCATAAAGAATTATTAAAATTCCGCACTTAAGCTTCACATAGCGGATAGCTTTGAATAACTGTTATGGGTAAGTATTTTTTTGGCGCATAGGAGTCGTTTTGTCGGTGATTAAGTTTAGTATAGTCAAGTAATAGTTAGGGTAGGTTGTTACTTGGTTTTGATATAGTTTTCGATTAATTAATAGGAATATGAGTTCGTTGGCTCGAGTAACATTTGTAATTTGGTTTTTAACTTTCCAAGTGAGTGGTGCTTATCTCTTCTTCGATTTTTCTAAAACTCATGTCTTGACAATGATAAGAAGATATATTATGAGTTAAAGAGACATCATATGATTTGATATTCCTTTTAAAAGAAAAGTTGTGATTAGGATATATTTGATGCATAAAATTGGATGAGACATTTAGTACCCTTTTGTTTATTTGAAATGGAAAAGTATCTTTTGAATATAGTTTAAGCTCATTACCTGTGGATGATTTGTGAAACCTTTTATGAATGAATTATGAAAAGTTTCCGCTTTATGAATATGGTTTATGAAAGGTACTTTGTTCAATGAATGAAAAGTTACATATTTTGGTTAATGAACCTGAGTTTTGAGATGGATTTTGGATTTTGATTTGTGGGTTATTGAAGAATGATGTTAGTGAATTATGCTCATGTCGCTATGATTAGAACACATTGAGGGGTTAAGTATGTATACTATTGTCATGACGTCCTTATGGACCAAACCACGTGCTGATATAAGTGAAGACCTAGCCAAGGGGAAAACTTGGTCCCCTTTGTCACGGGAGTTAAGCATGACCATAGTTAGATACTGAGTACTAGATTGATCAATGCAATGACGGATGTTTGATTTAATAAAGATTAATCAATGGAATAAACCATTAACGTTTGATTTGCTATTGTTAATTTGATATATAATTTTAATACAAAGAAGTTTTGTTGAAATTATATAACTCATTTTTTTGATATTTTATGTATATTGTATACTGGATTTGAGATTGATAAATTATTATGATATCGTTTTATAAATATGCATAGTGAATGTTCGATCTGTTTAGAAGAGATTTGTACTACTCACTGAATTGTGATAGCTTATTCAATTATTCAGCTCATTAAAAATTCAGCTAACTACAGGTAGTAGGGTTGAGCACCAGTCGAATCAAATCCGAGAAACGAATCAGAGTGCACCGGCCAATTCTGGATGGTTCCCGTGGGAACCAATTTGATTCTTGGTTCCAAAATTTAGAACCAATTCAAGTCCCGATTGCGCTAAAGGAACCTAATCGGATCGACTAGGAATCAGCTACCTTAAAATAGAATTTAGGGCTCGAACTTCACTCTTCAATCTTCAATTCATCTTCCTTAGCTGTAGTAAGATACTAGATTCACTCTACTTGGAATTTAATGTGGTTCAATATGTAGTTGAGTACCAAATTTTCGAATGACCTTTCTACCTCTTCCTTAATTGTTGAAGTTTGTTTACTTTCGGCTGAGTCTACGAATTTTATGATGGTGGAGACTTCATGTTTGTCTGATTGCGAGTTTTCCTGTTATGACTCACTACATAAAAGCATTACAAAAAAAAAAAAAATCGATTCTAGTCCAACCTGGGAATCGGATCGAGACTGACTGGTCGTGTATTGATTTCAAGATGAGAATCGACCCATCCTGGAACCGATCACCCTTAGCAGGTAAAACGAGAGCATTTACGTTATCGGCAAGACATTTTGATGGTGTGATTTTTGGGTATGAGTTGTTTATGTCTGAATGAACCTCTAAGTTTAGTTGCTAGTTGGAGATGTACATATTATTTTGACAGATTATAGAAACTCTAATCTTGTAACCATATGACAATTTAATAATATATGGATGGATATATTTTGAGAACAGGTTGAAAATGGTTATGTTTGAGGATGCGTCCTTCGCGTAAGAGGACGGCTGTGTCGCTAACCCTATTCTTGTAGTGTTAGGGGTGTGACATTGGTAACAGAGTTTAGGTTATAATTTTATTAAGTCTAGATTTTGTGGGACGTTCGAAGGTTGTGTGGTAGTTTTTGACGCAATAATTTTTTTAAGATACTATGGTGTAGTTTCATTCTTGGATCCTTGTAATTGGGGAAATGACACCACAAGTGCCATAATTTTCATACAGTGTTCACTTGAGTGTCATACATTTTTATTTGATTACTGAGTGTCATAGCTTATATACGGCACTCACTTGAGTGTCGTGTAACTTTTTGTAGAGAAAACCTCCGAATAGATTTTGAAGTTGACAAAACTATTCGTGTGCATCTTGTAAGTTTGATAAATGCCTTAAAGTATTTTGATTTAGGAAGTTATTCTTGGAAGAAAAGCATATAGCAATCTTGTTCAGATTGTGAAATCACTTTAAGAGGTTCAAACTTTATACTGCAGATGAAAAAGTTCAGACTTTGTACTACAAGTGAAGAATTTCAAACTTTGCATGAAGAAGTTTCAGACTCAGAGAATAACTAATGTTCCCATCCTGACACAAGTTCAAAACATACAAAATGTCTAGTGATCTGGCTCGGATTTCATAATTAGAATAAATTGATTGACCACATTTTGAAAATTATTTTGCAACAGTTTAATATGCAAAACAACGTAATTGATTACCAATCAATCTCGAGGCAAGTTGTTGATGCAGCCTGATGTAGGCTACTCGAACGTTAGGATCGGGAGAGTGACTTGCACACGTGGAATAGGACGAACAGTAATTACAGTCCTACGTAAGCTCGGGAAAATGGATGTAACTTCGTCGATACAGATCGGAATGACCTGATTCCAAAGCCAAATGAACAAAGACTTCTGGATTGACAATTTCTCTGTTTGAGTTTTCTCAAATAAGCACTATAGGAAGGGTGAAATCGGGGTGGAAATGGACGGATGTAAATAGACAGAACAGAGGAAAAGATAGAAATTTGTTGGTTGCTCTTCCAGGCCTCCAAGGAAGTGGATAGGGCACCGATTCTTCTAGATCGATGACTGCAACTCTTCAAGGATGCAGATTTGAAAACCTTTGACTCTTCAAGGATGGAGTGAAAACTCTTCTAGGTTTCAGGGGTACGAACTCTTCAAGATTCAAGATAATTGCTTGATGCAAAATTTTCATTAATCAAATTCGTCTGCCATTTACAGAAATTTGATGGCCTTTTAAACAAAGCAAGAAAAGCAAACACATAGGAAAATACTAAAGTCAAAACCTAGAAATTAGAAAGCATTAAAGAACATAGAAACTAGAAACATTAAAAATCATCGAAACTAGAAAACATTAAAGATCATAGAAACTAGAAGCTATTAAGAGCAAAACATTTTCCAACGTCTTCATGGTTGTCCCAAGGTGTTTCCTCAAGCGTTTTGTGTTCTTCGATGCAAATCCATCGAATCGGCAACTTTCGATAAGAGGCTCTTGAATGCAGGTTCATCGAATCGGCAACTTTCGACGAGCTTGAATGCGGGCTGATCTTCTTGGCCGAGTGAGCTGGTCTTCAATGCGGATTGCATCATCCTCCCCTTCTTTAAAAGAATTCGTCCCCGAATTCATGTCATCATCGGAAGAATCACCCACGTAAGGTGTTAAATGCCGAACGTTGAATACGTTGTGTATCATCATATGAGAAGGAAGCTTTAATCGATACGCATTAGGATTGATGCGCTCAAGGACTTTGAGGGGACCAAGCTTTCGATCACTAAGCTTGTTATAGCTTCCGACAGAATGGCGCTCCGATGGCAAATAAGCCCAAACAAAATCTCCAGGTTCAAAGATAACTTCACGCCGCTGTTTATCGATGTCCGCTTTATAGGACTCAATTTTGCTCTCCAACCTTTGTCGCGCCACACTTTTTTGGGACTTTCGGAATTTGCGCGCTAAGGAGGTATTTTCGTGTAAGGGTCTCTCCCAGACCATACCTCACATGACAGCGGATGGTATTTTCCT